GAAATATCTACATATATGCAGAGCAGAGCCATTATGAGGAGAGGCAGGCTGTCATCTTCATGTGGATGTGTCTGGATCTACACACTCCATGGTGTCAGATCAGGGCGACCCTGTGGATGGCTGGCACTGCACAACTAGATTGGGTTCCTTGGCACAGCATAGAGCACCATAGCTTCTTCACAAAGAAATTCTGATCAGGTCCAAATTTATGTGACACTAAACTCAGGAGTCAAATCCTAAAAATGCATTCAACTATCTTCACTATTAAAAGAAATGTATCTTATTTGTGTATCACCCGGCTGCAAATCCTCAAATCCTCTCTGAATCCATGTCCACTGTCCTTCCTTCTGGAGGGTGGCTACTTTTCTTCCCCTGCCGCTGGAGTCCCCTCATCGTCCAACTGCTGAGCTCTCGGTCCATGAACAAGTGCATGACTTTTCGGAGGGAGTGACACCAAAATGACTGTCAATCATTCTGGTGTCACCCCCTCTAAAGGTGTCACCCGGGTGCGGGTCGCACCCCCACAATTAATGCCACTGCCCGGCGGGATAAGTTAGGTCGCCGGGTCCCCTCCTCTTTCATGCAAATGTCAGGCTCTTGGTCCAATGGTGTCACCCGAGTGTGGGCCGCACCCCCCTAGTGACGCCACTGATTGTAGTCCATCACAGGAGCCAGCTTGGAGTGGTGACTACTTTACAACACACACAGGGACCATGTGGAGCAAAAGTAGCCACCCCCCAGAAGGAAGGACAGCTTTTGGATCTATTCAGATTTTTATTTCCGGTCATGTCAGCGCTATATAAATACCAGTAATAAATAAATCATTATTTGGCCTTCGGATCCAAACTTTCATTTCAGAATGATCCACAACAGGAAATCACCTGATCGTATCTGTACTGTAACCCCCAACATCCGAATGGCCAGAGAAGAGTCACAAGTCCGATTCAGTTTTGTTTTGAACGAAATTCGGTCACATTTGAATTTTCGTTAAAGGACCATTCGGATTTGTTTGCATTCAGACACTTTGGAAATTAGGACGCACAGAATGAAGGAATTTCGTATGGATATCCATTGGCAATGTAACGAAATGTACATGTCAGCATGAGGATCTACAGCCGAGTGATACACAAATAAGATACATTTTTGTTAATAGTTAAGGTACTTCAATGCATTTGTAAAATTTAAATGCTGAGTTTAATGTCACTTTAAAATAGAACTCTAGAATTTTTTCTTTAAAAAGGAGAACTATGGGGTCAGTGTTTTTCCCCATAGTTCTCCTTAGGGTAAAGGGAGGGCACAAACTAGCGTCCTCCCGTTACCCTAAGCTCAGTATACCGTGAGCTACAGCTCGCGGTATACTGAGACGACGACTTAGATGACAACGACTTAGATGACGGGATCCGCCCAGCTGCGTGAGTGACAGCTGGCTCTGCCTATCTAGAGGCAGAGCCAGCTGTACCCGCCCCCACCCGTTCCGCCAGTCAGCGCTGGCAGATCGGAGCGGGGAGAGGGTAATCCAGCCCCTCCCCCTTTCACGGCAGAGAGCCGTGACAGGATCGAGAGGTGAGTGAGCGCCGGTATGTGTTCGCTCACCTCCCGATCTACTGAGCCGACCTGTGACAGTCTCATTGTCACAGGTCGGCTAGAACTATGAGGTGAGTGAAAAGCACTCACCTCATAGTTCTCCTTTAATAAACCCCCTGTAATGGGGCTCCTCCTGCACTGCAAGGGTTAAGCGCTCGTATGTGTCTAGGTGTTAAAATAACAAAGTTATACTCACCTGAAGCTCTGAGCCGGTCAGCTGTCCCATCACTCCCTCCAGCCTGTCTCCCCCGCCCTGCAGCATTGGAATCTTCCTCAGCGTCCTTGCGCCTGTACACTGTGTATAGACGTTGATGATTTATGGGACCTTTGACCACTGCAGAGGAGGGGGAGAGATGTTGGAAGGACCGGTCTAAAGGTGCCCATACACTTCTCGATTCTCGTACGAGAATCGCGGGAAATCCCGCGATCGTACGAGAATCGAACAGTGTGAACGAAGACGTGCGACCGTTTCTACTGTACGGTC